CCTAAATAGAATTTTTAATTTTGTTCTTTAATGCTATTATAATTTTATGATAGATGATCCTAAGGCTGAAACTGGCTTTAAACATTGTTTTGTAAAATAATCAAATTTGTCTTTTAATGGTGTTGTCCTTATGTCACACGAATTGTTCTGATATCACAAGCATGTTTTACAACATGTCTGAGTCATTTTCTCTAGGAGACCTGAAATCATGCTTCTCCTATTACTCAGAGGAGAAGCATGCCTTTACAATGCATTCCTAGCTGCTCCTTCCTATTAGTCAGCTGTCAAGTCCTATGGAATCTAAAATAGAGCCCGCCAATAGGAGCCAGGCAGCGCTTGCGGGGCAGCTCGGACTGGCCAGTTGGGTCGCGCAGCAGCGGTGTGCTCATTGCGGGGCAGCAGGATGCAGAGCGCTGCCTGTGTTTTCCCGCAGGGTCCCTGAAGGGACAGCTGTTGAGAGGCTGTTTCCGGAGAATAAGAACTAGGAGTGACGGCACCTGACTGGGGCTGCCCTCCAGCGCTGCACAGCCAAGGAAACTACTTCCAGGCGTTATGACGGTGGAGAAAGACCCCGAAGACGAGGAGAATATCATTAGAGATCCCTGCGAAGCGTGGCCCAGCGTGTGAGGGACTGAGGCCCACCCTAGGAGTCGGCTGAGCGCTTGCTTTGCGAGCTGCTGCAGTGATTTGTAACTTAACACGGAGTTGTTGCTGTTAGCAAGAAGTGAAATCCTGCCTATGATGAACTGTTGGTTGTCTTGTGCTCCTAGGAACAGAGTAGGTAACCCAGTAGTGCAGGCTACCTGAAGATTCTGGGTTAGGCTTTCTGAACGGTGTTGTTTAAAAATGTACTGTTTCTTCATTTTGGTTTATGTTGTTATTTTCTTCTTGACTTGCCATTGTGCTAGAAAACAGAAGTTACTTGTTTGTTTTTTTGGGTTTAAAAAGCACAGGGCAGAATGTTAATAATTGAGCAGTTAGCTGACATTGGACCACAACAGAAAGTGGTGTTTGATGAAGTAGAACTGAAAGGCACTTGGTGATAGGAGACTTTAATCTCATTTATCTTTTTTAAAAGCCTGTTGGATTTTTCTTAATTTTTAGTGATTTAAATACCTCCTTTCTCCTCCTGCAAGTTTACTTGGAAATAAAGGCTGTTTTACTTGTTGGGATAAACTAATCAATTTAGGTCAAGTATTTGTGTGCTAAACATGATCTAATCCTTTAGGTATTTCCAAGTGCAGTGTCTCTTAGATCTAATTCCACTACCATTCCTCCAGCCAGCGGCAGTAGCTGTTTTGTTCTAAAGCTAAAGAAAAGTGATACCTAAGATGGAGTTTAGATTCTGAGCCAGTACATACCTGTAACTGGCAACTTGAACTTTGGAAGTTAGGAGGAAGTGATTCAAGGTACTACCTTCACAATGTCTTGAATATATTTTTTCCAAGCAATGCTAAAGATAATCTTGATATAATTAAAATATATATTTGTATGATGCACTTTTCTGTTTAAAAAAGATATGTATAGTTTTTATTGAAATTAAAGGTCTCTTTTATAAAAGCAAGTTTTGTTGAATGTAAATGAAATTCATCTATGTTCCTATTTTAGGATTTTTAAAAAAATTTTGGTACTAGGGGTCGAACTCAGAACCTTGTGCTTTCCAGGCAGGAGCTTATACTACTGAGCTGTCTCTCCAGTTCTATTTTAGGATTTTAAGAAATTAATACTTCAAAAAAAGAAAGAAAAGAAATTAAAACTTCATTGTCTTAATTTTTTTCTATTAAAAGTTTCTTTTTATCTTACTAAATAAGCATGATGGATTACTTTCTCTATTGCATATATGTAATTTGCCTCCATAAATATATTTCTAACAGTACCTCTTAAATAATTAGAGGAGAAATATAGTTTCTTAAAATACATGTAGAGAACTCCACTGCCTCGGAGAGTCCTGGGAGACCTGTCCGTACACAGAGCCGAATTTGAAATCGCCTGAGTTAGGCTATAGGAAAAGCACAGTTTGGGGGACTACAGAAGTGAAGGTTGAGCTACACAAGTCATGTAATGTCCCCCAGGGCCTTGACTTTTTCATTGTTAAGTGCAGAAGATAATTTTAATACCCTGAGGTTGTTTGAGTCCTTCCTGCCTGGCTCAAGGTGGGTGTTCAGCAGTTTTTAATTCTTTCCTTTGCCCTGAAGACAAGAATACTTCTTGTGCTTTGGGAAGGTTGTGCGACTGCTGTTCTGGTGAACGTAGTCCAGCGAGGAAAGCACTTGGAATGCGGCTGGAGAGTGCCTGCTGTGCTGGACGGTGCTTTCCTCCCCCGCCCTCAGTCTCTAGAAAACCTCGCTAACACAGTATGCCCTTTTCCTTTTGTAGCATGTGGCAGATTGGAATAAATATGATGACCGATTGATGAAAGCTGCAGAAAGAGGGGATGTGGAAAAAGTGACCTCCATCCTTGCCAAGAAAGGAGTCAACCCAGGCAAACTAGATGTGGAAGGCAGATCTGCGTAAGTGTCCTGTGGCAAGGGCATGTCCAGGGGGTTTGGGATACAGATGAAACTTGTGAATCATGGCTATTAATTTTTTTGTTAGAAGGTATTTATTTACCAAAACTCACACTGCTAAACTTTCTTTTTCTTTTTTTTTCCTTTTTTTCTGGTACCAGGGATCAAACTCAGGACCTTGCACTTGCCAGGCAAACAATTATTCCACTGAGCCATCTCTCCAGCTCTAAATTTTCTTTTTTCTTTTCTTTTCTTTCTTTTTTTTTTTTTTTTTAATTGTTTTTTCTTTTGAGACAGGGTCTAACTCTGTACTTCAGTCTGGCCTGGATTCACTATGTTGCCCAGGCCTACGTCAAATTTATGTGGATTCTCCTGCCTCAGCTTCCCAAGTTCAGGGATTACAGACACTACTAAACTCTTAAAACTGATAATTATTCTCAATTTAAAGATGTCCAAGGTACAAAGAACACTGGAATCCTACCCAGTGATCTTAGTGTTTAGGTCCCAAGATAAATCAGTGTTTATTTGGTACATATTCACTTAAAAGCCTTTTCATATTCCTTACCATATTTGCTCTTCAAAGAAGCCATGTAAAAGTAGGAAAAAGTTTACAGAGGTTATTAATAATTTGTTCTAATCCCATGAAAAACCAAACGTGAACTCATTCTTTCTGTCTTTGAGGAGTTTTGTAAGTTATAGCCCAACCCTCATTTTCTTACTTGAATTATTAAAAGAGAATTTTTAGGGCACCACGCAGGCAGACTGAGTGGTGTAGCTTCAGCGACAGAGGCAGCTGATTCCCCCTTTCCCTTTTGTACTCTGAGAGGGACTTGTGGCATGTTCATGTGCTGTGAAGTAGCTGCTGCTCCTTCTCAGTCTTTAAATCACTCCTCTCCTTTCCAGACCAGGGAGCATTTGAGTGAAAGGTTAGATCCAGATCTAGAATCTGCTAGCAGTTGGGGCCTTAGCTGGGAACACTTCCGAAGTTGGAGGTAAAAAATCTCATTTCCAGAATTCCTCAGTCTTATACTTGCATGAGTTTATTCAAAGTATTATAACTGGAGGCTAGATACTAAATATAGAACTGAATATTAGGAAGTGAATAATTAATGTTTCATTTAGGTCACTACCTTGGTATGCTTAGATATTTATATATAGTAAAGATAGTGAAGCATGATCATGAATTAGTTTTTAAGGCAATAAAATTTTAAAAATTTAAAGTTTATAGTGTTTCAGTTTTATCAAGTGGTAATTTGATAGTTACAGAAAAACTGGTTATTTTGAGTCCTGTCCCTATTTTTGCTAAATTTGAAGGTGTTTATAGTGCTCAGTACAAATGACGGCAATGTAATATCTATGAGTGATGGTTTTCTAGTTTTGTCTTTCCAAAACGTTAAGATGTTAAAAGATAAAGATCTTTCTTGGAATGAAATTCTTCCCTGAAACTATTTCTTCACATTTTCATACTATTTACACTTTTAATGTTTTAAATGAATTTTTGTTTGATACTTTGTTTGACGTTCATGATCTAAGATTCATTTTGGAGTTAGATTTTTTTGTACTAGAAGAATTATGATAATAGGATATTATTTTGGTTCCCTGCATGGGGAAGGTTCACCAAAGGTCCCTGCTATCAGCTGCAGAATTGTAGATTCCAGTTTTTTACTTCGTTCCTATCAAAGCCTATCAACTGCTGTCTCTGGAATCAACAGATATTTACAGGGAAAAGGGGCCCCAGATACAAAGCTCACCTCCCTGGACTTCTGACTTTGGTTGCAGCATGGCCTCGTAGTGGACTTGTTGGTACACTCAGTACTTCAAGCGGACACTTGTATTGTGTTGCCCGCAGAGGTAGTGATTGTCCAAATTGCCTGTCTCTTCCATTGTGGAAATAGGGGTCCATGCTTTGTTTTTATTTATTTATTTTTATTTTGAGGAGTCCTGGGAATCAAATTGAGGACCTTGTGCTTGCCGGGCAGGCACTGTGCTACTGCGTTATATGCTCGGCTCTGCCTTGTTTTTAAAAAAGAGAACTTGGAGTTGTTTTTTGAATTTCAAAAGAGTGTTTCCATAAAAGTTTCTTGTATTTCCTTCACATCTCCACATATATTTAAATTATTAATATATGTTCTTTCTGAAGCACATCTACTATTTGTAACATGCCAGCATTAATAATGCATGTAGATTTGTTATGATTTCTGTCCTTTAGTATGTCATCTGCATAATACTGATTTTTAAGAAAGAGGTCTTCCAAATTTTATGAGCAGAGAAATGAGTATGAGCAAACAGACACTGAGTAGTTTCCTCCAAGATGGCTCAGAGGCTAATACCTTTATGTGAAGTAAGTTAGTATTCCTAAAAAGGTTCCAGAGGTTCATTGAATAGTATAATTTACCATGTAGATTCCAATTTTTGTCTCAATGTTGTAGAAAGATTAAGTGATACTCTCAGCCTTGAGGTTTAATTTTTCTACTGAAAAGAGAACTAATCTGACTTAAGAATATATGCACCTTGAGAAGTGAAACATCTCTTTCTCTGCAATTCAAGTTGTTTGCAAACCTGCCTTACTTAGGAGTGTTTGGTGTATAGTTTGCGTTTTATTTGGTATAATGCTAGCAGGATCTCATGACTCAATGTCATAATATTTGAAAATGAATTTGCAGCCTATCTTCAGATCTTGTCTGGAGCATTTAGTTATTCGTATATACAAGGTCCACATTTGCCTGAAACTTGGTTCTGAGGACGAAATAGGAAACACAACAGACAGAAATCTCTGCATTGATTGAGTCTGCAGTCGGGAGAGGAGAGACTGATGGACCACACAGAAAATGAATTTGTATAATGAAAATGTTAAGTTGTGTATAGAACAGTACGGGCAGGGGTAGGGGTTGAGCGTTCTAAGGTTTCAGGGATCGCGGGAGCATAGTAGTTCACAGTGGGGACCCTGCAGCGTGCTGTGATGCCGAGTGGACCTGCGTTCTGGTTGAGCGTGCTCACACCTTTGTCTCCTGGTGCCTGCAGGGCGATGGCTGCACTTGTTCAGCACCTTGGTTCTGTTTCAGCTTGAATTCACTGCCAACAGTTCCTCATGTGTGTACCAATTTGAATATGGTCCATTTTTTCACAGTTTCTGTAAATATTGATTAATGAAGTATTAGGTGATCAAAGAAACAATGGAATAAGCCAGTCATACAAGTCTATAAGCAGGAGGATGAGTTCAGTAGGGTCACTGGTCACTAGGAGGGCCACCAGCTCTTGTTTTTCAGGGTAGTTTTGCTTGTTTTGGAGGCTGTCCTGTGTCAGGTTTAGTTTGATATGTCTAAAGGCAAGCAAGGGGTAAATATTTTGATCTGCCTTTGCCCAGAGCATTATGCTGTAACTTCATTTGTTTTGTCAGTTTCAATATATTTGAAAGCAAACAAAAATAATCTAATAGAAAATTTTCATTATGTTTTAAACTCCAAGAATCAGTGCTTTGTTATTGAAATAATAGAGTTAATGATATTATAACTATTTTATCAAGGCTATTGACTAGTCGAATATTTCACTGGATCTTACGAGGTATTCCTAGAATGCATGGTCCTTTTGGATCATGGTAAATTAGATTTTGGAGCATTTTAAATTTCAGATTTTTGGATTAGAGAGGCCAACCTCTGTAGCTACCCTGACATAGCCCTTAAAATATGTATGTGTGCGTAAGAATGACGTTACTGTAACACTTAAATATGTTTGGTAGCTTCCATGGCATAATAAATATTCTATTTTTGTTTAGCTTTCATGTTGTGGCTTCAAAGGGGAATCTTGAGTGTTTGAATGCCATCCTCATTCATGGAATCGATGTTACAACCAGCGACTCTGTAGGTATGTTTACTTACCTCCACAGTCAATGACTAAACATAAAGAAGTCTCTTTTCCTTTGGTGCTGGGCGTTGAACCCAGGGCCTCTCACTTGCTAGGCAAGCACTGTGCCATCGAACTGCATTTGCACCCATCTAATATTCTTTTTTTAAATATTTATTTATTTATTTAAATGTATCTAGTACAGGCTCTACAGGGTCTTGCTACATAGATAAAACTCATACTGATTCTCCTGTTTTCAGCTTCCCAAGCGCTGGGATTACAGGCTTGCACCACCACGCCCAGTCTCAATCTCTTTCCAGCACACCCACGGGTGGGGCGGGGGCGGGGCTGGGGGCGGGGCCTTGGCAGCGGGGCAGCCCATGATCGAACCCCCATCTAATATTCTTAATCAGATTTAAATGTGATTTAAATAGTTGTGAAGAAGCTTACTTCTAAGATGTCATTACCACACCTCTTTGAAACTCTTAAGACTACTTTTTATTGTGTTTATTTCATTTGGAATGTATATCTTTCGTGTTTTTATCTGTGTTCTCTCTGTTCTGGCCATTTTTGTCTCGTGGCTAATTTAGTGACTTTTGGCCTCCCTCGTTTGCAGATCAAATTTAAATGCTGTACCCAGCCAGCAGACGTTGATTCATGTACAGCAGACATTGATTCATGTACAGCATCCCAGCATACCCTGCATGACTCTTCCTGGCTTTGGTTTATGCCACTCTTTAGCTGTATTTTTCCTTAACTTGTTAGTGTGTTTTTGCTATAGCTGTCCTTGCTTGAGAACAGGAAGCTTTTTCAACTGCTGTAGTGCCTGTTGTAATCCAGATGAGGATATTTAATGGGAAGCATTTATGTAAATTACCCTAGCTCCTATTTTATATGCAATATGTTTAAAATGAGAAGTTACTATTGTATCTGGTAACTCTCTTCCCAACACCCCACCACCTTTGGGATTTTCCTTAAAATCCCATGTTTGAGATCTGATGTTTTCTTTTTGCTATATAGATGTCTGGATTCAGTATTTCCTTAGCCCCCGTCTGGCATTTTTGCGTGACGTAGGTTTCTGTAGCATTTTGTGGAGCGGTAGAGACTGGCAGCACTGTGCCTCACTCCGCTAGCCACATTTCAGGCTATTTGCTGGCTCAGTTACTTTTCGTAGAAATGTTTCTAAGAAACTTGTTTATGAGGTATGGCAGATTGAAATTAGAAGTGCTCATGTGTGACTGGTGTGGAATAAAAGGATGTTTGGATGCTGTTGAATATGTCATATCTGGTCCTGTTTAAAGACCTTGTTCCGCGGTTCCAGAAGCTGATTAATTAGCTACTCAGAAGCCATGAAACCTAGGAAAAGTGGCCCATGTATCTAACCTCATATATAATGGAGTGAGAATTGGAAGGCAACTTATTTATCCAGACTGGGTAATTAGACTGTAAGTTACTTATTTTGTAGCAGAAAGGTATATTTGTGAATTCAGATTATACTTTAGAAATTAAAAGGTTAGGGGGAAATGAAGGACATAAAATTAGAAGCTAGCCTCGCCTAGCAAACCCTGGCATCTCTCACCATTTAAGACAGATGAAGGAGGTGTGATCAAATAGCACAGTGAATATTTAAATTTATTACAGTAAAAGAACAGCATAATGAATCCCCCTCAAGTTATTCCCTCTTTCTGTGAACACATTTACTCAATTGTTCTTGCCATTTCTGGAAGCAGTTCTGGAAATCTTCTTTGGTGAATGTCCTGAACTGATTCCAGACATTTACTTTCATGGTCATTTTGACTTTGAGGAAGAGCCAGAAGTCACATGGTGTCACATCCAGAGAAAAAAGTAGATGCAAACACTGTCATGTTTTTGTGAGTCTGCCTTTCCATTGGGTGGCACTCCACAGCAGCAGTCCCTGTATCATACATACCTCATAAAGATATTCACAGAAGAGGACTCGGAGAGCTGTGTCAGCAAGTGGCAAGAATAGTTGGATAGATGTTTGAAGCAAGGGGAAATATTTTGAGGGGAATTAATGGCAATGTATCTTTTACTGTAATAAGGTTTTAAAACATTTTCTCTGTATGTGTAAAGAAAAAAATTAGGAGAAAAGAATATGTAGAGGTAGGCTGTTCTTTGCAAGTGTCCTTTTTGAGAATTCACAGTCAGCTTTTCCCAATGCCTGGCACCCTTTTCCCTGAGCCCTTTTGCATTTCCTTTAAGATTGTACTTTTTTTTGCTGGCTCAGACTGCCTTAAAGGCAGGTCTGGTAAGGCTTGCGGAGCTGGGGCTCAAACCGTGGTGCTCTGTACCTGACTGGGTTTGCCCAAGCAGGCACTTAAACAACTGAGCTCACCCTCAAGCCCCCCAACATTGTACTTTTTAATGTACATTGTATTTGTACAAATTTTGTCTGATTTTTAGAGGCACAGTCTCATAATAAATTTTGAATTTTAGCTGAAGTGTAAATTTAAGGAGAACTTTCTAGTAAGTATGACACATACTTGTTTCCCCATTCCCAGTGGCCATATTGTAGGTTTGGAAATGTTATGTGGACTCTCCCTTCTCATTCTGTCTCATACTTTCCCTTCTCTTCGCTGTCCCAGCATTTAACCACCAGCTTCCTCTTGGGCACTGCTCAGGTGCTGGAGATGCAGTGGTGAACAAGGCAGGGCGCCTGCTCTTCACGGATCTGCACGGTGACTTCCCACCTTCATTGCTTTGGTGTGGCCGCCATCTATAAAATATCAAACTAGTGAAATATCCTAGAAACTGAAGGCCTGGTTACAAGTCAAGTATCTTGTCAAGTAATTTTAAAACAAAGAGTAATATTTTAGGAAATTAAAACAAAATTTATGAAGAAAATAATTATGCACATATATATTAAATTATTTCTTTTATAGGGAGAAATGCGCTTCACCTGGCTGCCAAGTATGGACATGCACTGTGCCTACAAAAACTTTTGCAGGTAGTAGAAGTGGCTAAAACTTTAGTTTTGTTATTTTGTCAACAAATAATATGTTCTTAATGTCTTCTAGAATTTGGGATCAAAGAAAATGGTGGGTTAACTTAGACTGTTAGCTTACATAGTAGTTTTTCCATCATTTGTGAAGGAATGTGGACAATAAAGAACAAGAACTCTAGGGAAGTGAATCGCATAACTCCCTGAATTAAAAATAAACAACAAAGACTTGACCTTCCTGTTGACATTAGCTGGAGACTGGAATTTTCTGTTGTCTACGGCATGGCATAAGATATGATGATGCAGCACATGATTTAGGTGTTTCTGCACAGAAGTGAGCCTACCTAATATTAGCACAATTAGTTCAGTTTTTAATCAGATGACCATACAGTTGCTGACTTCAGTCAGAGTCCAGGTACATATTTGCCACCAGGTTTCACAGCAGCACGGATTTGTTCTTCTAATTCAGTGGCTCGTTTTAACTCTTGCTGAAGGGAAAAAAACCCTCCAAACAATAACATATTTTCAATATCCCATGCAATGGTAATGGACCATATGCTTCCTGTTTGGTGAAATACTGTTAAGTTTACACTTATATTATGTTATTATATTTGTTTCATGTCAAAATATTTAATAGATTGTCTGAAAGTCTTTAGTTTCTTTGATAAGTGGGATATTTTAAGATTAAATAACAGCTGTTCCTTTGAGTCTGGATATGGAATTTTAAAATAAGACTCTTCTAGATCACCAACTTTCTGTGTTTTAACAGTATAATTGCCCCACTGAACATGTGGACCTGCATGGAAGGACTGCACTTCATGATGCAGGTGAGCGAAGGTTTCAGTTGGACACGCACATTTGTTAAAATGTGTAGCTGTTCAAATCTAGCTAAAGGTTTTAACATGTATACAGTTGTGTAATAATATGAAACACTCTGTATACCTCTGTTTGAAATTTATTAGCATGTATAGCCTAGAAAGATTCACTGTCAATATTAATAGACATGTCAGTTTGCTAAGGTACTAAGGGCATAGAATGGATCAAACATCTTCCTGCTGTCTTGGAGCTAAAAGGGAGACAGATATAAGAGGAAGGGGGTAGGGAAAGAAAGAGACAAAAGGAGAGAGGAGAAAGGGGGAGGGAAGGAGAGAGGAGGAGACAAGGGGGAGCAGGAGAGAGGGCAGGTGGGGGAGACAGTGTGTGTGTGCGTGCTTGAGAACTGGCTGGAAAAATGGGAAGGAGGAAAGGCCTTTCTCTTTCTGAAACTGTGTCCACGCACTTAGCATGTCTAAACCTAATGTGTCTCAGGTGTAAAATGAAGGTAAATGTAGTATTGCAATAAGTAGTTGTAATTAAATCATAGTGTCTGACACATAGTTCGTCATTGTGGTAGTGACACCTCTTGATTTAGAGGTGTCAGTGTTCAATTTCATATCAGTGTAATGTGCTTTAGTTTTTAAAAGGTTTTACTAGTCATTTCACTAATTTTATTAATTATACTTCTGTATCTAACTTATCTGCATTCTCTATAAATACACTGAAAAAAGTTTTATTTTTATTTATTATTTTTTAATGTATTTAGTATAGGGTGTACAGAATCTCACTACACAGATCAGACTCCTAGTGATCCTCCTGTTTTCACCCTCCCAAGCGCTGGGTTTACAGGCACACACCACCATGCCCAGTCTCAATCACCTTCCAGCACACCCAGGGGGCGGGCCCGGCACAGCACACTGGGGATCAAACCCCAGTCTCTGCATCTTGCCTAAGCAGGTGCTTTAATCCACTGAGCTATCTGGCCAGCCCTTGAAAAAGGTTTTAAGTATTTTGGGAATGTAAGACATCGTGACTCTAAACTTGAAATTCTTATAGTTTAGTAGAAGGCTAGGAAAGAAGACATCCTTTCCTCTCTTTTCATGTACAGTATATGGAATATTTGCATAAATGAAAGTTATGTGCATTAAAGATAGAGTTAAAGTGTCCTTTAGTGTTTTATGTGTGTGTTTGATAATACTAAGAATTAGCTGAGAGCCTTGTGCAGGCTAGTCGAGCACTCTACTAGAGCCACATCACAGTACTTTCTCTTTGGAGACAGTCTCACTCAGTTGCCCAGGCCAGCTTGAGCTGTGACCCTCCTGTCTCAGCCTCCTAAGTAGCTAGGGTTATAGGCATGTTCCCCTATGCCTGGTTTTCCTTTATATCTATCTATCTATATATCTATAGATATCTCTATCTATCTATAGATATCTATCTATATATATATATTTTTTATTTTATTTTATTTTTTTTTGCGGACCTAGGGATTGAACTCAGGACCTTGCACTTGCCAGGGAAGCACTTACTCCACTGAGCCATCCCTCTGACCCCTTAATATTTTTATAACTTAATTTTTGTTCAGTTTCTTCCTTTTGCATTTTAGGTTCCTTTATGGTCTTTATATTTCTTTTTCATTATACTTTATTCTCTTTTATATACAATGGTATTATTTACAAAAGCATTTTTATTTTTATATACATTAGCATGACTTGTATGAGTTACTGGTACAGCTTGATTGATTGAAATGCTAATATTTGCTTAGTGCATATATTACTAGTAAGAGGAAGACTTTTTGTTTTTATTCTAAAAGAACTCCAAAGACAGTATGCAATGTGTTAATTATTGAAACTGTCCTACCAATTTGATTTGAAACTATCTCATTGCTATTTGTTTCTCAATAAAATTATGGAAAAAAAAGTCAGTCGGGGAAACTTGGTCCTCAGCAGCAAAGCAGCCCCCTTCAGAGAAAATGTTGCCTTACAGTTTGGGTTAAAAGGGCTTCTGGTGAGAAAGAGTTTACATTTTTGGTATTAAATGTTTGGCACAGTTTCTGAAACTTAATGCTTATAAAATGTATTGAATGAATAAATGAACTATGTGCAAATAAGAAAATTTCTATTGAGCACTTTCAGATTGAAAATAAATAAATAAATAAATAAATAAGAGAACTCCAATATCAGCTTCTGCAATTGAAATCTTGGGCTTCTAGCTATTTGTGTAGCCTCTGCTTCCCACATACAAAACCCTATCTGCTCTTCTCAGGGGAGAAAAGACATAAACCAATTTAGTTTCTGCGCCTAGCTTGAAGTCTAGGAATTCTCCACAGTGTGCAGCGCTGTCTTTGGGGCTCTGAGGTGACCTCATAGTTCAGTAATCTGTAAGTTCAGAAAGAAGCGCTCTGCTGCCCGGCGTGCTGTGAAGGAGCCCTGACGGGCGGTGCAGTAAAGGCTTCTGTTCAGAGAGGGCAGAGCGGTTGGCCTCGCAGTCACTGAGTGATGACAGCCACCGGGTCCTGCTGAGAAGAACAGGCACACTTCAAGTCACTTTTAGCCATGCTTGAAATAGATTGTAATGAGAAAATTAGTTTTGATTTTGATTTTTGTATGTTCAAACTTAGATTCATAGTTTCATCCTCTCTACGGCTGACACTTCCCCTGGATCCTAATAAGTTACTTAGGCAATTATAAAATGGTTTTGTCTAATCCACTTCAAGATGGAAAGCTATGCGTACTTAGCTGTGCTAAACTGAGACTGAAGGATGTGACGCTTGGCAGTGGAGCAACTGAAGACCTTGAGTTGCCTCATGCGGACCTAGACAGATTCGGGGGTCTTCCCGCAGATGCTCACCGCTGTTCGTTTCCCCTTGCTCTGCAGCCATGGCGGACTGTCCTTCCAGCATCCAGCTGCTCTGTGACCACGGGGCCTCTGTGAATGCCAGAGACATAGTGAGTCCCTTCATGTCTGTGCTCCGCTCACTCATGCATTCTAGCTGCTGCATTTGGGGAGGCTCGTTCTCTAAACGCTCATTTACTTTTCTTTTATTTAGGATGGGCGGACACCGCTCGTTCTGGCTACTCAGATGTGCAGGCCAACAATATGTCAACTGCTGATAGATAGAGGGGCGGATATCAACTCCAGAGACAAACAAAACAGGTAATCGTTTTAGCATGGCTGCCAGGCAGCAGCTGGGCACACAGCGGTGCTGGAACTCTGCTGCCGTGACTTGGCCTCTCCTGCCCCGGCTCTCTCTTCCTCAGCCCACTCTTCCTTGGAGCAGCCTCCGCTCTTCCCCAGAGGCCGGAAGAAGGAAGGCAGGAAGTAGAGAAAGGGGATGAGTACAGAGCAAAAAGCAGTGATCTGGGTCAGAGAAATGATGTATCCCAGTTATTTTAAGCCTAAAAATCCATAATAAAAATGGGCACAAGTGAGTGTAGGAAAATAAGGTGCAGCTACAGTCTGTTTTTTCACCTGTGAATTTTTATTTTTATTACTGTGCGTTTGCAGCATGTGATGGTTCCATTCACCATGGGGAGCTGGTGTGTGTGCATAACAGCTCCATTCTTTTTACCTCCCCGCTATCCCTTGGTCTCCTTCCCATTTACAGGAGATCTATGT